GGGTTAAAAAAAAAAAAAGTGAAATTTCCTAAATGTGAAGAAATGCAAAAAGTTTTCTGCTCTCTCTGAGCTCTTAGCTAAATAGTTACAGTATTGAGGGGGGGGAGAAATCAACAGAGGTACTAAAATGTTGACTGTACGCTGGAAAATACATAAGAAAACAGTGAAAACATACTAGTGAGAAAAATGGCTCAAATGATTGTTTCGCATAGTTAAAACATGAATTTTCAAATAGACACATACATACATGCACATGCACGCCCATTCACTCCATACAAAGTTCACATAGCAAAACCTGCCAGCATAAACTTGTCCTTGATATGCAACATTGGAAATGTAGACTCAATACATATTGGTAGTACAAAACCTAAGGGTAAAAATAGCGAAAGATCAGTGCAGCTTTACATAGTACCTTCACATTGAAGCAAAACGTCAGATTTGTTGAAGAAAGAAACTGATAAATTCAGTGCCGAGGTGAATATGAAGATCTCTGAGCTACAAAGCAACATGAAGGTGTTCGTACACACAGGATAGGAAACTACAACCAAACTATCATCAATGATCATTCAAAAAAGGCTACTTCACATCTATGTTAGAGGATGGGGAAAAAGCTTTGTCTGAAATTAAAGAAAAAGGATTCGAAGAGAAAAGGGGTAAGAGTCAAATCACCAAACAAAAGTTGACAAAACATTCAAATAAATGTGTACTTGTACACATAGAGACTGCATTATCAATTAACAAACAGGCTTGAGTGTCCAAAAAAAAAAAGAAAAGAAAATCCAGGAAAATTAAAGGGAAATATTAGCATTTTTTTTTTTTAACTCCATGGTGGGAATTGGCAGCTGCACACTTCCAGTGGAATGCCATGTGGTGCTGGTCCTCTCCGCATCTCACATACTGCCTAATGTTTTGTTTCTGTAAAACACAAAATTATCAGCTTTAAAAGACACTTAACCAGTCCACAGCTTCTTCTACCGGTACAACCTCCTCCACAGCTTCTTCTACCGGTACAACCTCCTCCACAGCTTCTTCTACTGGTGCAGCTTCCTCTACTGTTTCTTCCACTGGTGCATCCTCTTCTACTACTTCTTCTATTGCCTCTTCCACTGGTGAATCTTTTTGCACTAGTACAGCCTCTTCCTCCAACACTTCCTCAACTGCTTCTTCCACCGATGCAACCACTTCATCTACTGCCTCTTCCAGTGGTGCATCTTCTACTACTTCTTCAACTGCTGCAGCCTCCTCTACTACTTCTTCCACTGATGCAGCCTCCTCTACTGCTTCTTCCACTGATGCAGCCTCCTCTACTGCTTCTTCAACTGGAGCAGCTTCCTCAACCGGTTCTTCAACTGGTATGACCTCTTCCTCTTTTGCAGGCTCTTCCACTGCCTCATCAAAAGCCTCTTCCTCAATTGGAACAGTCTCTGTAACCTCAGACTCTTCCTCCACAACTTCTGGTTCTTCCTCAGGAACTTCTTGCTCCTCTTCAACCTCTGGTTCCTCCTCAGCTACTTCATCTTCTGCGGAAATGGGCTCTTTGTCTACTGCCAGAGGTTCTTCTTCCACAGGAACAGGCTCCTCTTCCACAGTCTCTGGTTCTGCAAGGGAAAAAAATAATTATAGTAAATCTATTAAACAGACTGTACTATACTCTTATTGGTAGGTGCCAAAATATTTTTTGATGAACATGTAAGGGGTGGGGGATGTGTAGAACTTTGTGAATGCACCAATTCAGTGGTTAGGTCTAGTTATACTGCATTCTTTTGTAGTATTTACACAACATGTATACATCACAATGTGTATGAGTAAACAAATAGCAACAATTGCATATTGTCATTTCAAAGGACATCATAAAAACCGTACCTGGTGGTGGCTGAGCTGCTTCTTTAACTTTAGTGGCTTGGATTACTTCCTCCACGATAGATTCAGGAGCTAAATAAGAAAAAACTAATACACTTAGTTTGAAGGAAAACCATCTGTTTTTCTGAATTGAAAGCCTTTGTTTATCTGTCCTAAAACACACTTGTACAATAATGCTTTACTAAGATTTGAAGGTATAAGTTCAATTATACAAGTCTGCTCTAACAGGTCAATGCGATTAATCTCATGTCATGTCATGTTATGCAACTTTTGCGGTATGTGGAAAGACTCGTTCATCACTGGCAGGCATTTCAGTTACAAAAGTGTCTATCAGAATAATTTTAAGTGGGAATATCAAAATAATTTCTACATAGTTCATAGGTGGTACATTTATACACAGAGAACACCATCCTTATGATCACTGTTAATGTTTAATGATCCATTAGATAAGACCAACTCCCTTACTTACTAAAAAGATAGGTTTCTTGACAAATAATTAAAAAATATATATATTTCAGGGTCAGGAAATTTCATCTTGTAATAATGGCAGCAGCTTGTAAATTTGCATTTACTTTCCTAACTTGCATATCACATTAAATGTCTATTTGTGTTATAAAATCCTGCATCTTATTTTATTGACCTACAAAGATTTCGGCGCATCAATAAATTCTCACTGCACCCTTATTTATTGCATAAAACTGTGTATGATTCTACTTTACCTTCTTCCACAGGTTCAGCAAGGGTTCTCTCAACTGATTCACTGGTCTCAGTAGTGGATTTATCTTTCAGCCCTGAGGATTTTACATGTGGATGTGCATACATGAGGCAAGTGTAGAATACAATCACATGAAACAAGTGAACCTCTGTGAAGTGCATTTAATAGCCTTTACACTTTCAAAAAAGGACTTCCATAACAACCTTATGACGTTTGGTTTACTTTTGCACTAGATCTTTTTCTGTCCTTTGTTTTACAGGCACAAAGGTATGCATTTGATATTTGAAACAGACCAATAGGGAAACAGAGGAGAGGAAAAAGGAATATGTACAGAAGAGTTTACAGATATTATTAGGGAACAGAAAAGTATTCTTGTGGGGAAAAAGACCCGTTTTAATACCACTGTTTGTTTTTCTTATATTAATCAACACTGAAAAGAAAAACACTCAAAGCACTGATAAAACAAATCAGGGGATTCATATAGTTTATTGATAACAGAAGAATGTTCTCACTTCGTAATGTAATGCTAGCTGTTCTATTTATTATAAATTAAAAAAATAAACAAAATCAGAGAAACATCAATGTTGAAATCTCACACAATAGCTAGTATTTTGTAAGAGTAAACCAAAATTCTATCCTCAAACAAAAACATTTTTAAGAGAAATAAAAGAACTTCCACATGACGATCGGCATTTAGCACCTTGTTCTGCTTTTGCTTCTACTAATCTCAGTGTTATTAACATCACTGATTATCTCTCATAGAGACAAAAGGTCTTGCCTTCGGTCTATAAGGTGTGGTCTCTGAAGACTCACAATGGCCTGAGATCAAATTCAGCCAGATGTTAACAATTTACACAAAGACAAAAAGATCTAACAGTAGCTGATGTGCTGCCTCACGGTTTCTTTTTAGCTGCAGCCTTCTTGGATTCTTTGCCTTTTCCATTTTTCTCAACCTTTTTACCATCATCAGCAGCAGCAGCAGGTTTCTCATGAGATTTCTTTTCAGCCTCTGGCTTTTCCTTCACCTCATCCTTTTCCACCTTCTTAATCTTCTTTGCTTCTTCAATTTCTGCCATTTTCTCTCTTTCCTCCTTCTCCTTTCTAATTCTTTCCATGGCCTTTTCCACATCCTCGTTCTCTATTCTCTCCCCCTCCTCTTTAAGCCGAGCCTCAGCCCTCTCCCAAGCCTTGGCTTCCGACTCCTCCCTGATACGGTTCAAGGTCCTCTCTTCCTCCTCTTTGGCTAGGATGTGCCTCACTTCTGCCAGTGCCAATTTAGCTATCTTCCTAGCCTCCACTCTTTCGTGGATGATGGTGAGCTGCTGTTTCAGAGCTTCCCTTAGCTTCAAGCCAACATCTTTGGCGTGGGAAAGCTCTGGAGAGAGACTTTGTTTGATGATGTGCTTATGGTAACTAAATCATCAGTACACACACCTCAAGCCACAATGCAAGTAGTTGGAATGATGCAAATCATTTCACATCAGAACTCCATCATTAGTATGTTTCAGATATCCTCTACACCAGTGGTTCTCAACTTATTTAACTTGATGGCAGAATATTCAAAGGCCCACCATAAAATACTTCAAGTGTTTCTGCTGTAATTATGACAAAGCTGCTCAATTAAAACAAAACTTAACAGAAACTATGAGTCTCGATATATTAAATTATTTGACCACAATTTATGTGATCCCTGAAGTTTAAGAAACTGTATGCGTTTCATATGGAGAAAAAAAATAAAATAAAAATAATAATAATATTATTATTATTAATTTGTAACTGATATATATATATATATATATAAACCCAATTTAAATCATTTAAGTCATCTTGTGGCCCCCTAGGAAATCCGCAATGGCCTCCCTAGACAGCCCTGGCTCCCAGGTTGAGAATCACTACTGTACACATTATATTAGAATATTATGCATTTAGGATGTTTATAGTCCACAGTTCCCTGATATTATTTGCAAATAGCCTGGAAAAAGTATACACAAGCCTTACATGTGCATGTAGTTCTTTGTCAAGTCATCATTGTCCATGTCAACTACAAAAGTTTGTATTGTTAAACACTCCTTGGTTAAACAGAAAAATAATACATAGCTTAAAATAGTTTATGTCAGCTCAGTCATGCAAAAAGAAACAAGTCAATCAAGTAAATCTCTTCAAGATCCCAAACCACACTAGAGGATAGTCAGCTGCATGCACTCAGACCAAGTGTGCAAAATACCTCCTTTTCTACTGGAAACATCTTTCTTTTCATCTAGTGTAAATGTGACAGACAAACAAATTCAGTGATTGCTACTTAAAACCGTTGTACAATGTAAGTCCTGCCATTGAGGTCTTCTTCATACATTTCTTTGACACTAATTATGTCAAACAGTATACAGCCCATTCACCCATGTCTGCCCTGATTCTATTGTTTGAGTCATCATGCAACACGTAATGGTTGGTGACTAATACTTTTAAATAATTCTGATAGAAAATCTTTGTAAAAATTATGCATATGCTATTGAATCAAAAAAAAAATTACAGTGTGCGTCAACAAATCACTATCTACAAGTAGTGGCTTGTAATGTGAGGAGAAGCAATCTTATTAACACAACTAAAATGCCAAACGACACCAACAACTGAAAAATATGGCAACAATTGCAAAATAATTAAACCAAATGATCTGAATTGTCGATTTACCAAAATAAACACTAAAACTGTACTTGAAATGTTTGAAGGTATATTTGCGATGTAAGTGGTATTAAAGTGGTAATGAAGGAAATACTAACAACTGATTTTTCAATCTAAATTCCTAATTGTACACACTTCATTTTCTTAAAATACACTTCCAGACACAAAAGCAGCCATTTCTGTAAATTTCTACAGTAAATATTGTACTTTTTGCATACAAAATATTTAATATATTCACATTCATAGCCCTCCCAATTCCCTCCTAGTAATACAGAAGCCATATTACTTATCAGGCACACCGTTTCAGGTGCTTTAGCTTGGCAGGTAGGAACTGATTGTTGACGGTTACAGAACTCTGGGGTTCAGGAGACGTCTCCTACACATGCCACTGAACTAGTTCTTGGCTGATGAACTTATGAACTTCCTGAATTGACAGCCATGTGCAATCTCTTGATTAAATCAGCTATACGTCTGTTTAAACCATAATACAAGTTTCCTACCTAAATTTTGTTAATTTGATGAATTTGAATTTGATTTATTCATACTGTGTATCTAAGCTATCAATATTCTCCAAATCTCTGATGAAGGAGAGCAAAGGCAACTCACAAGACAATGAAGAAACACAACAACGTAACTGACAAAGTTATATAAAACTGCCTATTCTGTAATGAGCAGTACCAAAAAAAGTTTAAAGGAAATATAAAACACAAAAAAGATCCATCTCCACTGAGTTGCTGAGGATGCAAATCACCCCAAAATGCAATTGTGTAATATTAAATGGCTCAAAATAAACTATTCAGATCCGAAAGACAGAGAGAAGTAATAGTCAGATTATAAACAAGATGTACAGTGTTAAACTGTAAGACTTAAATAGAAATACATACTGTTGTTCATGATATAAGGGAACTGAGGCATGCAGCAAAGGTGATATGTTCAACTTACAGCACTAAGGTCATATGCAAAAAGGTAAATAGTGTATTAGTAGTTGGAAACAGCCGTTGCAAAAGAGCTGCAATGAAGCATAAACTACACAAGTTCAATATTTACAAATATGTAAATGTTCATAATGGCATCATCTTCAAGTCCCAAAGTGACTGTTGGCGTTCTTCCCAACAAAATATTTCTTCAAGTGTTAGGAACAGAATCAAGTCCTCCTCTAATAAAGTGTCACAATTGCGGTAGAAAACACGACTATTGATTTTGAAGGCCTAAAATAACGCATGTCTTTTGGCCCTGAACCCCTTCAGTCTGTGACGCGCCAGCAACATCCTCCGCTGCTGCCTCGGTTTCTTCATCCTCTAGCGTTTCAAAAGGACTCATAATGTCATAAAGGAAGGTGAAGAAACCTTGAAACCAATCAGTGCCCTCTTCTGCTAAAATATCGAGGACTTCCTCAAGGGAGTCTGAGTTTTCTTTGCTGCCATCTTTGGTCAGCCCTATGTAAACGGGAGAATAAGGAAAAAGAGAAAGAGAGGGAAAGAAAGAACAGTGGGAGAGCAAGAAAATAGAGAGAGGGTGGTGTTTGTTTGCAAGGTTTAGTAGATAAGGATTCAGTGCTATAAAAAAGAGGGTAAGGATTCAGTGCTATAAAAAAAGAGGGTAAAGATGCTATTAAAGCTTAAACTGAGGTAAAGGAGAAAGGGGACATGCATGGGAAGGACCAATGGGGCTGTTTTTGATGAATATATGTCTCAGTTACTTGTGGAATCAGTTAAACTACATGCTAAATGTGAAAATAAATCGCTTTAATTTCTTTCCTTACGATATGACTTTGCCTTAAATGTAATATTGGCAAGTTGGTCTAATTTACAAAATCATGCAATAAGCCAATAATCTCTCATCACTTCTTCTCCAAAATGGTATGTTGTTTGAATAAAATGATGATTATAAAAGCATGAAAAAGTACCATGCACATGCATCTGATTTAATATGAAACTGCACAAAAGTGAACCAAAGTCAGTCATGCAAAACATTATCTGGTCAAATTTCATTGGAATCACTGCACTTGCCTAGTAGTACTTTAGCATCTTCCACATCAAAGTCTCCATCACCATCAGCATCATAGGACACAAGTTTACCTAGTAAAGTAAAGTGAATCTGATTTAGTCATTTGACATGGGTTGTGAATAATCCAATGTGCCATATATGGAACTAAAAGTCCTATAGCACTGTTAAAAAGCTCTTATTTGTCTTTTATCAAATAGTACAAGGTTTCCTGTAATACTTTGAACTAAGAAATGTCCTTAATCTTATTTTAAGTAATTCTGTAGCAAATAAACTTTATAACAACTTTTCTTAAGAAGTCATTAACAAACATTACATTAACATTTTATCATATTCAAATAGTTAGAAAATACACACTCCCATCCAAAAGTTTTGGTGTCAGTTTTTTGAAAGAAGTGTCTTATGCTCACCGAGGCTGCATTTATTTAATTAAAAATACAGTAAAAACTGTCATATTGTGAATTATTATTATTAAAATTTTAAATTACTGGTTTCTATTTTAATGTACTGTATTTTATTCCTGAATTTTCAGCATCATTACTCCAGTCACATGATCCTTCAGAAATCATTCTAATATGCAGATTTTATGCTCAAGAAACATTTCTTATTTTTTATCAATGTTAAAAACAGTTGTGCTGCATGCTTAATATTTTTGTGGAAACCATGATACCATGATTTTCTTTGATGAATAGAAACATCAAATAAACAGCATTTATGTAAACAATTTTTTATAACATTATAAATGTCTTTACTGTCAGTTTTGATCAACTTAATGTATCCTTGCCGAATAAAATTTGTTTATTTGAAAAAATAAAATAAAATCTTACTGACCCCAAACTTTTAGAGTACATTTATATAAATGTAGTGTATATTTATATTAAAGTATGGAAAATGACACTAAAACGGAACTAATAATAAAATGGCAGGTTTACTTCCCCAGTTTGTAATTGAAGATGGTAGGTTCAAAGAAATGAGGTTTATGGTGGTGATTCTATTCACTGGTTCAGATGTCATACCTTGTAATACCTCTGAAAGATTATAGTGCAAGTCCTTTGCTTTGGCTGCATGCAAATTAAGGTCAGATATACAAAAATAAATTACATATAACATTTATGTATTAAGTATTTTTAAAACATCAATCAAGATATACACAAAATCTGAACAAGAAAAACCAAAGACTCACCAATTACACCTTGATAGTCAACAAGGTCAAAATACACCACAGCCACAGAGGTCCAGACGCCCAGGAGAGCCAAAACCATGAACAAGGTGAAAAACGAGGTTCCTCCTCCAACCTCGGCTTTCTTTCCATTCTTATGTGCCTGCTGTGGCTTGGCCTCTGAAGGATAAAAGAATAAGAATGTCAGGAAGAAATTAATAAAATCTAAAGTTTATGAATTTAAAATGTATTCATTTAACAAAATCAAATCAATGCAGCACAGCAAAACCCCTGTGTAAATGAGGAATACATGCTCAAAATTAAACCATGACTTTGACAGTAAGATTAGTCCTTTAGTATTACGGTACACACAAGTATTCACTCAAGGCCACTAGTCAATAGACTATGTAACGTTAGCTTTGAAGACCAATCAATTCATTCTATATTCAAATGCATGTATACGATCCAAAGGATTTCTGGTTCAAATGAAAGATTTCCTTTAAGATGTTTAACTATTCCATCAGAAATCACATCTATAGTAATCACAAGGTGACAAATCTCTAAAGGAGTGCAGTTATTCTGAGGTCTGTTGACACTTCTCATGGAACCGCGGTATAAATACATCTGCATTCAGAGCTCTAGTGGGAAGAATGAACAGGTGTTTTGTCCGCTACGTTCTGCTAGGTCAAATCCACACATTTGTTCATGCGCATACACACACTACAAATGTTAGTAACAGATATACAGACAGCAGTAACAACACTAAAAGTGTTACAACAAAATAAATTTGTATAGGTGTCACGTATAAACTGATTGCACAATAAAACTTTATAATACATTTCAACCCCCCAAAAGAAAACCCATCAAATTGTTGCTGCTCATATACAAAAAAAATACAAATTAAATCTAAAAATTAAGTATTAAATATTATTATATATTCTTTTTCAAATGTTAAGGTTTTCTCTCACACCCCCATGATTTGTTAAATGTCATCTCTCGTCATAAAAGGTTATTCCAAATCATAAAAATACTATACCGGTTTCTTCGTTCACCACCTTGACCTCTGCATTAGGCTCCCCCATTCCTCCAAAGCAAAGTGGGGAAAAAGGAAGTGTCTTTCACCCCAATCCTACCCCAAACCCCTGTACAACAGCAGGTCTCCTGCCTTTTTGTTCCTTGTGAATTGAGCCGGAACTTAATATGGAACTCGACCAGCAAATGGATTATTTTTAGAACTGTCCACTTGAAAGCCAGAAAATATCAAGCCCTCGTAGGAAAGGGTAGAGGCACATCCCACTCCATCCCGCTGTTCTTAGTCACATATGAAAGCTGAAATGGTTGATTTGTCACCCAAATTACTATACTTGACAAAAGAGTAACACACAATGGAGGATACACTGCTTTGTCACATACATGCATTTTAATGACATGCAAATCAAACTTTGGAAGGCGTTTTTCAGCCTCCAGGCAGAGGAGCATTTAAATCTTGGCAAACTTACAGTGAATCTCCTGACACAGAGCTATTTATTTTCCATACAAGGACCGGTCTCCCGAGTTTCTTGATGAAATAATAAACATGTTAGCGGTGGCTTCTGCTTGGATTTGGCAAAAACAAACTAGCCATATAGCTGAAACAGAAAAACCTGCATCAAGCTAACATTATCAGCAAAGTAAAACGACCAAAATCTACTTACGTAATCTTCTATCCTCATCAAGAATATCACTTACTCAAAAGATCTCTCTTGTGCTCTCTAGGGCTGCATTTATTTGATAAAAAAATATAGTAAAAACAGTAATACTGTAAAATATTACAGTTTAAAATAACTGGTTTTTATTTTAATATATATTAAAATTACATTTATTCCCGTTTCTTTTTTTTTTTTTCTTTTTTTATCCGGTCTTCAGCATTATTGAAATCAGATTTAGTGCTCAAGAAACATTTCGTATTATTATCAGTTTTGAAAATCATTATGCTGGTTAATACTTTGATCAGAATCCTTACTAAAAAGTATTAATTTTATATATATATATATATATATACACACACACACACTACCGCTCAAAAGTTTGGGATCAGTAAGACTTGTAATGTTTTTTTAAAGAAGTCTCTCAAGTGCTCATCAAGGCTGCATTTATTTGATCAAAGATACAGAAAAAAAAACAGTAATCTTGCAAAATGTTATTACAATATAAAATAATGGTTTCTATTTGAATATCCTTTAAAATATAATTTATTTCTGTGATGCAAAGCTGAATTTCCATAAGCTATTACTCCAGTCTAAAGTGTCACATGATCCTTAAGAAATCATTCTAATATGCTGATTTATTATTAGAAGAATTATCAATGATGGCAACAGTTTTTTTTGGAAACTGCGATACTTTTTCAGGATTCTTTGATGAATAAAAAGTTAAAAAGAACAGCATTTATTCAAAATATAAATATTTTCTAACCATATAAATCTTTGCTATCACTTCTTATCAATTTAACATCCTTGCTGAATAAAAGTTTTAATTTCTTTCAAAAAAAGAATAAAAATGTACTGACCCCAAATCTATATAGTCTATGGATAGTCAAACAGCTGCCATTGTGACCTAATCAACATCTTCCCCTCCCCCATTTATACCTGCTATGAAAAACAGTGCTTCGTACTCTTTTTGTAACTCAAGCACTGCTTTTGTCGTTCGAATATGCCTTTGTGATACACAATGTTCATCGTCCAGCTTACATAACATTGTAGTGGAATGTGTGCCTTGAATTACCCTCTCTTCTTCAGTCATACCTACACACCCCACTGTGTAAAGCTAGCAGTTCCTGCCTGGTCACAGGAACAAAACCTGGACACTAACCCCTTATGTGATTTTATCAGCGTATGCACCCCGACTGGAATCTTGAATGACCAGCACACTGACACTGCTTTAGAATAATAGATCATACACTGGTTTAAAAGTCCAGTGGGTTGTCTGATGTCACAACACGAGTTCAAATGTTACATATATAAATATTATTGCCATTCATAAGAATCTCTGTACTAAACAGTGATACTTGTTAAACACACACAAATGCATTCTTCACTCTTTGTATGAAACAGAACATTTAATATTGTGAGATGCACACTGCATTTACCAAAATCAAATATTTGCTACTCAGCCACATATGACAGAGAATTGCATTGGATTAAATGCCCTTGAAAAAAAACAAACATGCTAGGTTATTTGAATAGAACAGTGGAATCAATGGAGAACTGCTTGAGAAAAAAAAAACTAAATGCAAGCACGTCATGACAGACTGTCATTTCTTTACCATTTCTGTGGCACTCAGCAGGTTATTCTGTGCAGCTGAAAGGATCCCTGAAAGCAATGATTTTGACATTTGATAAAAGAGGGCATTCCACCACTGAACAGCTGAATTCTCTTTATGAAGCAATGCATTATCAATGCATCAAATCTAAGGATGGTGGTTTTGAAATCGTTAACACTCAGTAAACATTTAAATGGGTGTGGCTCTAGATTATTATCATTACAAGAAAAGTTTTCCATAATGGATAAACACCATAAAATGTAATTGTTTAATGGAGAGAATTGGAACGCTTATAGCAAGTAAGAAATGGTGGTTCAAGTGGCACCTCACTGACACCAAAATATTAATAAAAAGCACATACAAATCAGGTATCACATGATGGCATTTGATTCCTGTATTCAGGTATACAATTGATAACTGCATTTATTCTAATCAGCTTGGTCTGCTTTATTGGCTCAAAATATAGAGATAACCACCAATTCATATGGAGATAGAATTGTTGCTTAATTCCAAATAAATAGATTACCATCCATAAATAAATGTAAAGAGATTAACAAACATTAAACATATTGACAAATAAATAGAATGAGATCCACAAATAAATCTTAAAGTTTCACAAACATGAATTAAATTCACAAATAAATAAAATTAGATTTGCAAATAAAAAAACATATTCACAAATATATATTTGTCACAACTAGGGGGGGGCACGATACCATTTTTTCAGAACCGATACCGATCCGATACCAAAAGTTCTGAGTATCGGACAATACCGATCCGATACCAGCAGAGTTTTTTTTTCTATACCTCTGTGTGTTGACCTGATCATCACTCTTTTGTGTAATACACACAATCAACTAGACAACTTCATTATAAAGAAAAATATATGTAAAAATATATAAACAATCTATGAGAAAAATACTATTATAAACTAGGTTAGTGGATAATTCAGCAGCAAAAGTTACTCTACAAAAATTATGAGTTCACAATTTTATAAAATCTAAACATTTAAAGAAAAAAGTTATATGCAATAAATTAAATACATTTCTTTTACATTTATAGCAGTTAAATATCGCATGCGATTTATTGTGCAGCCCTAATAAGAGACTTAAGTTTTAGACACCATATTGCCTGTTTTTGCTCTATTTCGACAACAAAAATAACCACAGCAAAAGCCACAGCACTGTTTTGCTCTCTGAGCAACATGACGGTGTTTCGTTTCTTTTCATTTTTTAAATAATTTCAAATGTCAGTATTTGACGTTTTTTGTTTAAAATATTAAAACATTATCTATGCATTTGTAACTGCAGGTTAAAGCATCCCATGTCCCTCTGAGCTGCATTAAACAGCGTGACATCTAAATGCCATTCCAGATGCCGCTTCTGTGTTTCCTCTGCATTGCGAAGATTAATTTTGTTGATATTTATACCATTTGCTTGAAAGAAAGGCTATTAACAATCTTTCATTGCGCAAAAGTATTATAATAACATGAAAGGCTCCGACACAGAGCGGCACAAAGCACTTATGCGCATCCCGTGCACAGAATGATGCGCTTGAAGCAACACGGAGTCACAGCGCAGTGCTCCATATTCTAATTGACAAATTATATGCAAGAATTTGACTCAAAAAGATGCACACTTTTAAGAAAAATGGCTTTATAAATGTAAAAATTCTTATAAAAGGTAAAATATATATACATTTAAGCTTATTGGTAGATTAATTTCTATCACTGCTGTGAACTGACCACCACAGAATATCAAAAACTTCATACATCGTTAGATCCACATAGCAGCTCATATACATCGGCTTGACTAAAAAAATGGGAAATGCTGTTGGCTGTTGTGTGACGCCAATTTAACCTATTACACAAATAAATGTTTATTATGAGGTTGAGTTCAGTTATTAATAGGGATGTAACGATTCACTCAACTCACGATTCGATTCGATTCACGGTTCGATTCGATTCACGATTATTATCATTTTTTTTAACAAAATTAGATTTAAGACAAATTATCTTTAATATGCATTATACAGAGGCAAGATGAAAAGAAAAAATACCATCTAAACTTTTCTAAAGACAGTAAGTTCCCCTCAGACATACATTCATATAAACTCCTACACCTAAATGAATCGCGATTTGTTTAGCATCTCAACCGATTTGAATCGTCACATATTTGAATCGATTTTCAACCGGCTCGCAGTTAATCGTTACATCCCTAGTTATTAATTAGTCAGTTACTTATTGACGCTTTTATTTCCATATTGAATAACATGACGCTTCCATAACGCGTTTGAATCCAGTATAGCGTTGTTCCCATAGCCGTGATTTAAAGCTGTTTCTCTGGCATTTTCAAAGGCACGTAAAATATAATGCTGTGGCTCGGCATGATACACAGTCTAATGGTCTAACGAAATCCAATTTTAAACATCTTTTACTGTACCCATTTTATGGCCCTTATATTACCTATTTGAGCCAATGCAGATGAATGAAGTTACCTCAGGACGAGACCGCCCTGATGATTGTAAAGCAAAACATGATTGGCTATAGCGAGATCGTGCTATGATTGGTCAGTGAAATGTAGCGGTTATCTGACTGGCTTGAGTAGACGGTGGGTGGAGTCCACGTATTTGTGGATTGTCAGCACATCTTGACGCAAGAAATGTTTCACAATTCGCAAATGCACGGGACGTGATTCACAAATGCGTGCAGCTATCTACAAATGCACAGGACGCGATTCACAAATAAATGCCAGACAAAGTTGTGGTTGTAACATAAATATATATTTGTGAGTGTGTTTTTTTATTTGCAAATCTCATTTTCTATTTGTGAATTTAATTCATGTTTGTGAAACTTTAAGATTTATTTGTGGATCTCATTCTATTTATTTGTCAATATGTTTAATGTTT